TCTGGTTCTAGGTTCTAGGTTGCCCATATATTGTCCTATAATTATGAGCCTTGATATTTCTGTGGTGTCACTTGTAAATTCTCCTCTTTCATTAATTATTTTATTTATTTGAGTTCTTTCTCTTTTTCTTGATAAATCTAGCTAAAGATTTCTCTATCTTGGTTATCTCTTTAAAAAACAGCTCCTGGTTATAGTTCAGGTACATTTTTCTATACCCACTTCGTTGAGAGATTTTTGTTATGAGTGGATGTTGAATTTTGTCTACTGATTTTTCTGCATTTATTGAGATAATCATGTGATTTTTATCATTCATTATTTTAATGTGGTCTTTTATATTTAGTATACTTGGATGTTGAACCATCTTTACATCCCTGTAATAAATTCCACTGTATCATGGTGTATGACTTTTTAACTATACCGTTGAATTCACTTGCTAATCATTTGTTGAGGTTTTTTGCATCAGTGTTCATCAGGGATATTGGTCTGTAATTTTCTTATAGTGGCCTTTTCTGATGTTTGTATTATGGTAATGCTGGCTTTGAACAATTAGTTTGGAAGTGATTCCCTTCTCTTCTGCTTTTTGAAAGAGTTTGAGAAAGATTGGGTATTAGTTCTTCTTTAAATGATTGTTAGAATTCACTAGAAAAACTGTTTTGTACTAGACTTTTCTTTGTTAGAAGGTTTTAAATTAATGATTCAATCTCCTTACTAGTAACTGTTCTGTTCAGATTTTCTATTTCTTCATGATTCAGTTTTGGTAGGTTATATGTTTTTATGAATTTATCAGTTTCTTCCAGATTACCCAATATAGTGTCCTATAATTTTTCATAGTAGTCTCTTTTGACTTTTCTGTGGTGTCAGTTGTAATTTCTCCACTTTTCATTTGGTATTTTATTTATTTGAATCCATTCTATCTTGGTAAGTCTGGCTAAAGATTTGTCTACTTTATTTTTTTAAAAATCGAGCCCTTGGTTCCATTGATCTTTTCTATTGTCTTTTTAGTCTATATTTCATCTATCTATACTTTGATCTTTGTTATTTACTTCCTTCTAATAATAACTTTGGGCTTCGTTTGTTCTTCTATTTCTAGTTCCTTTAAGTGTAAAGTTTGTTTATTTAAGAGAAAATTATTGCCTAATATATGATCTATCCTGGAGAACATTCCACGTGCACTTGAGAAGAATGTGTATTTTGCTGCTTTGGGTAAAATGTTCTATATCTATGTCTGTTAGGTCCATCTGGTCTAATATGTAATTTAAGGTCAATGTTTCTTTATTGACTTTATGTCTGAATCATCTATTCATTTTGTTGAAAGTAGGGTATTGAAGTCCCCTACTATTATTGTATTACTATTTCTCCCTTCAGATCTGTTAATATTTGCTTTATATATTTAGGTTCTCCCATATTGGGAGCATAAATATGTCAAATGTTATGTCCTTTTGATGAATTAACCCCTTTCTCATTATATGATGACCTTTTTTTTTCTCTTGTTATAATCTTTGGCTTAAATTCTATTTTATCTTATATACTGTAGCTACCCCTTCTTTCTTTTGGTTTCTATATGCATGGAATGTCTTTTTTCATATATTTACTTTCAGTCTGTGTGTGTCTTTAAAGCTTGAGTCTCTTGTAGGCAGCATATAGGTCGGTCTCATTTTCTTTATCTCTTCAGCTACTTTGTCTTATGATTGGGGGATTCAGTCTATTGACATTTAAAGTAATTATTGATAGGTATAGACTTACTTTTGCCATTTTGTTTAATGTTTTCTTGTTCTGTAATTCCTTTGTTCCTTACTTTATCTCTTGCTCTCTTTGTGACTTGATAATTTTCTATAATGGCATTTTCTCATTCATCCAGTCTGTAGGCATCAGTCAACTAGTTTCTGCATCTCTTTCAGAAGGAATTGCCCCATGTGTAGCTATACATTTGGTGTGTCCATGGGAAGAAGGGGCCTCAGGAGTATCCTATTTTGCCATTTTGGTCTACTCTCTCTCTTTCTTTATGAATCTCTGTGTGTGTTTCTCTCTCTCTCTCTCTCTTCCTCTCTGTCTTTCTCCCGGCTCCCTCTATCCTTCTCTCCTCTCTCTCTCTCCTGTGTATCTTGTCTCTCTCTTGAAAGGGTCCTCATATCAACCTTTCTCTCCCTGCTTTTCTGTAAGACTTCCTGTCACAATGCCAATTCTCTTTCTCTCTGTATGTCTACATCATTCCTTCACACATACTCTTCCTATCAGGCTGGAAACATTTTTCCCAACAATCGTGGCCTGGTGACTAGAGAGGAAAGATGATTCTTTCCTATCAGCTCTAATTAGAGAAACCCTCTAAACTGCCCTGGCATGTCTCAGTTGCCGTGGCCAACATGGCTCATGATCACGCTGGATTCTGTATCATCTGAGTGTTCAGAGGAATGAGCTCCTGTGACTGACCACCATGGACCAAACACTTGGCTGCAGTTGGGTAGAACAGTTTGCAAAGGATGAGAGAGTGAGAGGGGTAATCAGTTGGTCAGGACCACAGGTGTCTATTCTAGGGAGCCAAGACCAACCCAAGAGAAACAAACATCTTAATATGAGTGCTGGAAGTTGTAGGATCCAGAGTCTGAATTCTCTGGAAGTCTAAAGGAGGAAGGTCACTGTGAGCTAGAATGACCAGGGAAATCTTCCAGGAGGACATAATTCTTGGTCTTAGCCTTAAAAAAATCTAAGATTGTAGATAGATGGAAGAGAGTGAGTGATTCTGGGAGAAAAAAGAGTTTCTGTGCTTGTTTTGTTGGTGTTGTTTGCCTTAAGCTTTCTACGGAGCAAAGACTTTTCTTTTGTTATAGAGCATAGTACCTGGTGACCACAGGTAGGCTTAGTCATTATGGTTCCAGTTCTTTCCATCCTACCATGCCATTGACCTTGGGGAAGGACAGAAGAATAATACCTAAGAAGTTTCTAAGCCTGAGAACACCAATGTGCATAAAAGGAAACGGGAAGATTATGGAACAGAGGTGTCCATATAGTTCCTTCTGGTGCCCTCAGACCTCAAGTGAGTTCCATGTTGAAATTTTGGTATTATCATAGCAGATTGGATTGTTTATTACTTTAATAAACACATTGGTAGCACCAGATACATACTGGGCACGTAGATGCCAAAGACCCAAAAATAAATAAATGGGATATTACCACTTTAAAGTTTACATCCAGGTATGGAAGGCAAAGATGCACAATTACACGAGTGATGTGATCGAGTCCATCAGAGCAGTGATTCTAAAACTTGGCTGCACATGCCAATCACCTGGGAGTTTTAAAAAATAGTGATGCCTTGATCCTGTCCCAGAGATTTTGATTTCACTGGTTTGGTGAGAGCCATCTAGATATTTCAGATCTCCCCCTGTAGCTTTCATGAGCAGCCACAATTGAGATCCAGGTAAGGATGCTATGGAAGCAGATAAAGGGCCCTTCAGGAAAATGAGGGACGGAAGGGCTGCCGCAGGGGTAAAGCCAAATGAGCTTTGACAAGTGAGTTCCCTGGAGGAGAAAGAGGGCGGGGAGGCAGAAGGATGTGGAGGACACTGCAAGAAAAGGAAAGACGGGCCAAGAAAGATGGGAACTGCTTCTGGCTGATATGTTAGTAAATCTCTAGTTCTGGCTTTGTCCCTGTGTGACCTTAGACAAACATAAACGTCTCTGTGCCCTGATGTCTCATTCAGTCAAATATAACCAATGATACTTGTTGTCTTTACCTTAGGAACAAAGAAGGTGAAGAAAAATTAAAAGACAGATCATAAATGAACTTTCTAAGTAATTGAAGTTTAACCATTCAAAATGTAATCATTTTAACAAGTAAAGATCATTTGATTTTTCCTAACATATATCACGTACAATCCCGGTTTCTTTAACAGAATGCATTGATACCATTTGCCCCCTGCTTCCAGTTTTTTATGCCATTAGCCTGTGAGCATAGATGTTAGGTACTGAATTGTGTTATTATATAGTAAAGACCTCAGGGCCACTGAGAAGTGATGAGCTTTATGGTGAGGAAGATCACGTTTTGAATTCTTAGGCCTGTTTTTCATAGGTTTTCTATGAAAACCTTGCCTTCTCTTGCTGTCTGGGTATCAGCAGTTGATTCTCACCATTTTAAATTCTACCTTTTCTTGTTAACTTGCTGCTTCTTACCTGTTGAGAAAACCAGAAAACCAATATTAGAATGATATTTGAAATAAGAGCAAATAGTGAGTAAGAGCTTGCTGAAGAGAGTGAGTCATGCGGTCTCCGCAGTGCATGGATGTTTTAATGTCTGTGTCGCCTCGTTTAGCTGACATCCTCTGGCCTGGCTATCTCATACAGGGAATGGCTAGCTGTGTATTATGTGTGCATGGTTGGAGGCACACAAGGATTGGTTTGCAAGGACTCTCGGCCTTCCTTCTGGCTATTGGCCATAGACTTTAAGGTTCCTCACCTCAGTCACCAGAAGAATGCTATCCTCGTCAGACCAGATTTTGAAGGTTTGCCAGGCAGAAGGAAGGAATGGTACATAGAATCAAACTCAGTAGGGAGCACGAGAGTGCCTGGAAGCAAACAGCCAAAACAGAGGTTACCCCACTTCCCCAAAAGACAGAACAGGGTACCAAGCTGTGCTCTCCCAGTGGAAGGGCAGAGGGTCAGGAAGAGGTGGAAGTGATCAGGTGTGGCAAGACAGGGAGATGGAAGGCCAAGGGGAAGAGAGAACTTACTAGAAGGTGTGAGGTGGTGAAGGGCCAAGGACAGAGGTTTAGACCAGCTGCAAACTCTGTATTCTTTTATTTGAGTCACCAGCTTCCTGACACCATTCATAAGTGACCCTTACAGGTGACAGCTGTACCATACTGCCTGGCAGTCCAGGGGCCAAATTCTATGAGTTCCCATGGTGTCCTGTTGGGCAAGCAGCTTTCTGGGTAATAGTCAGCCCTGAATACTTTCCCACTGTGTTGTCTTTGTGGTCACTGAGCTTCTATGTCTCCCTTCTTCTGCAGGTCAGTGGCCGGACTGGATAAGGAGGCAGACCTCGTGCACATGGAGGTGCGGACCACGGATGGATGTGAGTGCTCAGTCCGCCAGGCTAGGCCCAGGGAGATCTGCCTGCAGCTCTCTCCTCCCCCAATTGCATTTTAATGTCTTGGGAAGATGAAAAGCCCTGAGCCTCATTACCGCCATATCCATTCTATTTCCCAAACTGGGGGAGAGGCCTCCCATACCAAGGGAGACGTTTCATTGAAATGAACCCTGAGGAATGAATTTTCTAGGGATGTAAGTTAATGCGATGAATTTTTAGTCTCTTGTTAGTAATTTCCTGGCATCTTCAGTGTAATTCGAATAGGTATGTCCATAGCTCTCCATGCTATTTTGCATTCAAATATTCACCTGGTGAATTGCAGGGGCTGCTAGCTTAAAAAATGAACCCTTCGTATAGCCAAGGTTTCCAAAAAAAGTTACCAGGCAGTGATTAGCAAAGCTGCTTATTCATTCAATCCACAAATATCTAGGGATGGCCTACTCTGTGCCAGGCATTATTCTAGGCCCTGGAGGTACACTGGTGAAGAAGACCCATTTGTCATTGCAATCAAGCAATACAATCCCCAAAATTTCAAACATGTGTCCCTTTGCATGGTGTACCTTTTTAAATCTTACATAGAATTTAACTATAAACTATCATTTTGCACCACTTCAAGCATTTCACTCTTCCCAGAGTTGATCATTTTTATAGAGCTCTTCCCTATCCAAGGAAAATAAAATCAGCTTAAGCAAAACTATTAACTATGTGAAAATAAATGAAATATAGAAAATACAGGGAGCTATAATTAGCATATCATGGGTCAACAATAGAGCCAAAAACCACAGAGCTAATGGTGATCCAGGAACGCAGCAGAGCAGATTCCTGCCTGTGAGTTGGGGTCCTGGGTCCTGCTGCCCATTTGCCATGAGGCCAGGGGACATCCCTTCTAACTTCTGTGCTTCAAACTTCCCTTGTCACTGCTTTGCCCTGCCTACCTCATAGGGTTACAGGTAGACGAAGTAGAGAGGAATTTTCTAGAAATTATAAAATGTACAAATGTGAGGAGATTATGTTTTGACTTGGCTTTGGGAGTTGGGAGTGTCATTCAAACCACATTAAGTAAAACTACATGCACTTTGTCCATGATAAATCTACTGTTGTTGAGGCCAAACAGATGCATGTCAGAAACAGGCATTTGGGGGAATATGTTTTATTTGCTTTGTTTTTATATTTGAAAGAGAGGCAGTCACCGTTTGTACTCTGTGTTCGGCACTCTGTTGAGTACTTGATTCACTTTTTTTTTTTCTGGTCTAATTTGATTCTTGAATAAATGTAAGTCTCTGAAGCAGGCAGGGATGAGAGATGACCCACACTCTTAAAAAAAAAAGTTTTTAACAGAAGAGCTATTGAAGATTTAGGGATGTATTCAAATTCACTGATCATGAGGATGGTGAAGCCTGGATTCAAAATTATATTATCTGATGTTTATAGCTGAGAAAGACACCAGGGGAAGAATGAGATGTAGGGTTTGAAGAAGCATAGCAAGACAGCAGGAGGAGATCAGAAGATGATCCCAGGCCAGTTCTCAGGACAACTCCCACCTTTGCTTTGCTTCCCATGGCAACCTTTTAAAGCCACATATGTGCTCTGTGGTGGCTGTAATATTTCAGGTGTTGGAGGAAACTTTATAGAACTGTCTGACCCCTTGCCTAGTGTAGGGAATCCCTTCCTCCAAAACCTCTACCATGTGTCCTCAGGTTGTCTTAGTTCAGGTTTAAGATGCATCCTTTTCCACTGCTAGACAGCTCCTATGTTTTGTTTTATTAAGCTTAAACTTATTTTCTGAAAGTTTAAGAATTCTGGTCCAAATTGGGATAAGGCCTATGGTGCAGGACTGCTGCAAAATTTTATGAGCTTGAAAATGCAAAACACATAGAAGAGTTCCTGGCCTATTGTCAAGAATTGAAAAAAGCAGACAGAAATATAATAGGGATGAATGTCGTGTGCCACACTTAGATTAAAGTGTCATATATATTAATTCTGTTCCATTTTCTAGGTTCTTAGAAATCTGTTTTTCAGTAGTTGAAAGAATCTTTTGAGCCTAATGATTTGGCTCAAACACACCTTTATTTAGAAAGTGCACCTAACGAGAGTGCGTTAACCTCTTGTGTTTTATTTTACATACCCTAATTGAAATATATGACACCTTTTTTTTGTGCTATGTGGTAAATGCTTTCTCACACTCACACACTCACATGTGTATACACATCTCTATCTTTGATCATCACAAAAAGGCCCAGCATACATTTTCAGTTCCTTTTTTTTCTGATGTGGTAGCTTGAACTCAAATTTACCCCAAAACGCAGCTAGCTAATGATTAAATAAAAATTCTTTCAAAGCTCTCAACATAGCAGAAATAGAAGGGAATGTCTGATAAAGGACATCTACAGAAGACCTACAACTAATGTCTCACTTAATGATGAGATACTGAATGCTTTTGCCCTAAGAATGGAAAAGGCAGAACAGTTTCCTCTTACCACACCTGTTTATTATTATACTATAAGTCCTAATAAAGGAAAAAAATGAAATGCAATTTATACGGATTGCAAAGGAAAAATTAAAACTGTTGCTATTCTCATTGACATGATTGTTTATGACTATCCCAAGGAAAAAGCTACAAAAAAATTTTCTAGAATTAATAAGTAGGTTAAGCAGAGCTGCAGGATATAACACATGGTGAAAGTGGAGAAAGGGTGTTGTTTTTAGCAAATGGTGTTTGCTAAAAATTGGGCAGCCAGAGAGGGAAAAATGAACTTCAACCTGTGATTGACAGTGTATACAGAATTTAACTTAAAATGAATCATATTTATGAATTGTAAAATAAAGAATTATGAGGCATTTAGAAGAAAATATAGGAGAAAATCTTCATGACCTTTGGTTCACACCAAGAGCAGAATCAACAAAGATTGATAAATTGGACTTCATCAAAATTAACATTTGTTATTCAGAAGACACATAAAGACAATGGGAGAAAATATTTGCAAATCATACATATATCCAACAAAGGACCTGTAGCCAGAACATGTAAGGGACTTTTAAGACAGAGCAGTATTAAATAATGCAAGTTTTCTAAAAAATGGGCCAAAGTTTGAACAGAACATTTATCAGAGATGATGCAGAAGATATAAGTATGACAAACAAGTTCATGAAATGATATTCAACATCACTAGGCATTAGGGAAATTCAAATTAAACCCACAATGAGATATATTACATCCCAATTGGAATTGCTAAAATAAACAGACTCTATCTTTATTGTGTCTTCTGAAGAACAAATGTTAATTTTGATGAAGTCCAACAAGGATGTGCTAACAAGGATGTGAAATAGTTGGAATTCCTGGTGGGAATGCAGAATGGTACAGCCACTCTGGAAAAGCATTTTGTCAGTTTCTTATAAAGTTGCACACACCTTATGATTCAGCAATTCCACTCCTACATATTTACCCTAGAGAAATGTTGTATTCACACAAAAACCTGCACACAAATGTTTGTAGCAGATTTATGAATAATCACCAAAAACTGAAAACTACCTAAACATCCCTGAATAGGTGGATGGATAAGCAAGCTGTGGTGTATCTGTAGAAATGGAATACTACCCAGCCCCATAGATACACGTAACAACATGGATGAATTTTCAGTCATCATGTGAAATAAGCTGGTCTCAGTAGGCTACACACTGTATGATTTCATCTATATGACCATATGGAAAAGGCCAAACTATAGAGATGAAGAATAGATCAATTGGTTTCCAGGGTGGGGAAATATTTGGCAAGCGAGCAGAATGAAAGAATTTTCTTGGGTGATGTAACTATTCAACAACCTGATCATGGTGGTGATTACATAAATCTGCATATCTGTTAAAACTTTAAAACCGTATGCTCCCCAAAAATGGCTGCAAATAAATTGTAAAATATCTGTATTAAAAAATAGTTCTAAGATAAAAATCTTTGGTGAGAAAAGCTAGCACACACAGCTCTTGACTTCTAGTTCTGGAGAACTTCTTACCTTTTCTGATTAATTAATTAGTTCATTGATCCACTGAGTTCATTTATTCAACCAACATTATTTAAAATCTATTTGTTCTGGGCACTGAAGGGACATACAGGTGAATGTGATATCATCTCTGCCCTCAAGGTGCTTGTTGGGGATATGAGCAAGGATTCAATGATTCTAACACAATTTGACAGGAACATTAGTCAAGTTGGGTATGTATGTTGAATTGTAAGTGAGAATGTGAATAATAGCTTAGGAAAGTTGGGGGAAACTTCTCTGACAGATGAAATGTTTGATCTGGTACTGGTGAGGTTAATAGGAATTTATCAGAATATTCTGGGTAGAGAGGAGAACTTAACAAGTTCCCAGAGTCATGGGAGGTGGTGTATGCAAAGCAGTGGGTTATGATCTGTGGCTGGGAAAGAAGAGAGATGGGCTGGCAAAGGCAGGTTGGGAGTGGTAAGTAGCTTCCTGAGCCACAGTTCATGCTGGCCACCAAGTCATCCCAGGCCAAGCTGTTCTTAGCCATTTATAATGAAAAAGCTTCATGATACAACTGTGATTTCCCTAGCTGCGACCTTAGATATGGATAATACTGGTCTCTGATTGGCTGTTTCAGTTCCTTTCTACCTGCCTCTCTGTTTGCATGTTTTACATTTGCATGTTTTATGTTTAAGATATAGCAACTGATGGATGAAAAGCTGGTACCCATTCCAGCTCATTCAGACCCTGGCTCTGAGCAGTTACACTCCATCTCTGGAGCACAGGAAGGTTTGCTGTTTTCCTCATCTCCCATCCTGTCTGGCTTGGCTCCTGACTCAACAGTGATGCTGGGAACTGAAGAAGGCAGCTGCTTGTGTCTGGCCTCCTTGTGTGGGTCAGGGGAGTGGAGAGGAGAGTGGTATCCATGCTGGGGCCAGGTCACACTCTGCACCTGGCCTCTCCGGGATCCCGGTCTGGTCAGACAAGCTTGTTCATCACCCCCATGTCTGT